ATATAGACGCCGCAAGGAAGCCATGGCTACGCGACGCCGCTGCATCGCTACGACTGAAGCGTATTTATAGCGGCGTTGACGGGCGGCGCCGCGGTCACTCGCCTCCGCCGCCGCAGCCGATGGGGGCACTATACATGTACACACACACACACACACACACACACACACACACACACACACACACACACACACACACACACACACACACACACACACACACACACACATATATATATATAAATATATATATATATATATATATATATATATATATATATATATATATATATATATATATATATATATATGTTTGTGTATACACATATATATTATATATATATATATATATATATATATATATATATATATATATATATATATATATATATATATATATATATATATATATATATATCGTATCTATCTATCTATCTATCTATCTATCTATCTACCTATCTGTCTGTCTATCTATCTATCTATATCTATCTATCTATCAATCTATGTGTATACACACACACATATATATCTATATATATATATGCAAATATATGTGTGTGTCTGTGTGTACCAAAGAGTTGTATCATAACTTACGTAAAGGACAAAGTCATTAATAATAACAAATTATCTCTCTCCTCCGATCTTTGTCGTTCCTTCCTTCCCTCTCTCCTCTCCTCTTTTATTCCCTCTACCTCTCTCCTTTTCTTTACTTCTCTTCTTTTTTTCTATTCCCTTCCTTGATTTTCCCTCCCATTCCTTTCTCCCTCCCTCACCCCCTTCCTCATATCCTGTCCCCTCTCCTCTCTCTCCTCCTTCCTCCCATCCCTCCCCTCACTCTTCCTCCCTCCCCTCCCCTCTTCCCCTCCTTCCCAATGCTATGCCTACTTCCCTCCCCATCCTCTCCCCCTACCCTCTCCCTACTGTCCCCACTCCCCTTCCTAATCCCCTACCGCCTCCCTCCTCGTTACTCTCCTCCTTACCCCCTCCCTCCCACTCCCTTCCTAACCCACTGCACCCCCCCTCCTTACTCTCTGCCCTCCCCTCCCGCCACCCCCACCCTCCTTCCCGGGCGTGGGTGGCAGCGTTCCCAGGGGCGCGTCTGAGAGCGAAGGGGGTAAAGAGTCCGCTCACCGCCCCCCACCCCCCCCCCCCCCCCACCTCGCAGTCCCCAACTTAAGCCTCGTGTGGATGATTCACCTGCACCCTGTGGGTCTCACCTGCCCATGGGGGGGGGGGGGGTCATGGGGAGAGGGAGGCTATAGGGGGACTCTGATGGAAGGGGAAGAGAGAGAGGGGGAGGGGAAGGGAGAAGGGGAGAGAGAGGGAGAGAGGCAGAGAGGGAGAGAGGGAGAGAGAGAGAGAGAGAGAGAGAGAGAGAGAGAGAGAGAGAGAGAGAGAGAGAGAGAGAGAGAGAGAGAGAGAGAGAGAGAGAGAGAGAGAGAGAGAGAGAGAGAGAGAGAGAGAGAGAGGAAGAGAGAGAGAGAGAGAGAAGAGAGAGAAGAGAGAGAAGGGAGAGAGAGAGAAGAGAGAGAGAGAGAGAGAGAGAGAGAGAGAGAGAGAGAGAGAGAGAGAGAGAGAGAGAGAGAGAGAGAGAGAGAGAGAGAGAGAGGGAGAGAGAGGGAGAGGGGGAAGGGGGAAGGAGAAGCCAACGCGAGTGCATGCACGCATAATAAGAATAATAATAATAATAATAATAATAATAATAATATAATAATTAATAATAATAATAATAATAATAACAACAATAATACATAACTAAATAATAATAATAATAATATTATCATTCACTATAATCGTATTTATAATACAAATCATCATACAATGATGATAATGGATAATAATAAAAAATAATGACAAAGATAAAAAATAATGACAAAGATAAAAAACAATAACAAATCTCTCTCACTCTCTCACTCTTTCTTCTGCTCCTTCTCCCTCTCTCCTCTTCTCCTTCTAATTCCCCACTCCCTCTCTCCACTCACTCCCTCTCTCCCATTCACTCCCTCTCTCCCACTCTCCCTCTACTCCTTCTCACTCCCTCTCTACCCTCACTCCCTCTCCCCTCTTCTCCCTTCCCTCTCTCACTCGATCCTCACTCCTTCTCACTGATCCTCACTCCCTTTCCCTCCCTATCCACTCAACTCCCTCACTCCCTTTCCCTCTCTTCTCTTTCTCCCTCTCACCCCCTTTCCCTCTCTGTCCGCCTCGCCAAGGAAGCCACCGTCGCTTCTTTGTGTTGAGACGCCAGCGGAGTTCGTCCCACTTTATGACGTAATGTATGACGTCAGCAAAGGTGTCGGGGAGACGGGTGAGGGGGGAGGAGAGAGAGGGGGACGGGAGGGGAAGCGATGAGGGAAGGATAGGAAGATGGCGGGAGGGAAGGATCAGGAAAGGAGAACGAGGGAAGGAGAAAACGGGAGGGAGAAGGGAAAGACGGAAAACGACGATAAATGTGAAAGATGAAAAATCAATGAAAAGACTAAATGAAACAAGATAAGGGGAAAGAGAGAGAAAGTTAGAGAGAGAGAGAGAGAGAGAGAGAGAGAGAGAGAGAGAGAGAGAGAGAGAGAGAGAGAGAGAGAGAGAGAGAGAGAGAGAGAGAGAGAGAGAGAGAGAGAGAGAGAAGAGAGAGAGAGAGAGAGAGAGAGAGAGAGAGAGAGAGAGAGAGAGAGAGAGAGAGAAGAGAGAGAGAGAGAGAGAGAGAGAGAGAGAGAGAGAGAGAGAGAGAGAGAGAGAGAGAGAGAGAGAGAGAGAGAGAGAGAGAGAGAGAGAGAGAGAGGAGAGAAAGACAAAGAGAGAAAGAGAGAGAGAGAGAGAAAGACAAAGAGAAAGAGAGAGAGACAGAGAAACTATTAAGAAAAAAAAATCGACAAGCGAAAAGAGAAGAGGAATGAGAAGGGCTTAAGAGAAGGGAGGAGCGGGTGGGGAGGGAAGTGGGGGGGGGGAGACTCCACTCTCTGAACGTGACGCAAGGAACGGTCTCGAGGCTTGAAGGGGGGGGGGAGGGGGGGAGAAAGAGATTGGAGAGGAGGAGAAAGGGGAGGAGGAGGAGGAGGAGGAGGAGGAGGAGAAGGAGAAAGAGGAGGAGGAGGAGGAGGAGGAGGAAGAGAAAAAAGGAGATAAAGGAAGAGGAGGAAGAGGAGGGAAAAGGGGAGAAGACAAGAGGGGGGAGAGGGGGGAGTGAAACGGGAGAAGAAGGCGGGAAGAAGGAGGAGGAGAGAAGGAGAAAAGGTTAAAGAGGGAGAAAGGAGAGGAGGAGGAGTTAAAGGGTAGAGAGGGAGAAGAAAATAAAAAAAAAGGTT